CCCAAGGGCTGTAGGGTGGGGCTCAAAGGAGTCAGTGTGCTAAAATTTCTTCATTTTCCTTGTTAAGAATCAGAGGTGCTAGTTTCAAATCCTTTTTAGTCTGAAATCTGTATGCTAGATATTGAGTAAGGTGGTTTTATTGTTTTTTGTCACTTTGAATAATATTTCTGTTCATGTTAAAAACAAAATCAACTCTCTGTATAAATATATCAGGTGACCGTTAAGGCCCATGGGCCTCTTGTTTATAAATAGGCTTCAAACTTTGTAGATATGCAAGAGCAGGGTTATCTGTGAAGCCTTTGCTTCAAGTTAAATCTAGTTTAATTTTCACATGATCTCTTATGATTAAATGATAAGATTTTAATCAAACATACATTAGCTGGTGTACTACTTTATACTCAAGTCTCTCTCTGGGCATTGCATATTTGATGTCAGACTGCTATATTCTGATCGGCTGATAGCTTTCGGTGCAATATCCTATAATAGGAAGATCAATTTTGATCACTCTTGCTTGGAGTTGAACTCTTGATTTGGTTCGAAGTTCCATCAATATTTGATTGACTGGATATCATTCTGATTGGTTGATTGCTTTTTGTATGCCCAACTTCTTATGACGGAATGATCGGATATTGATAAAACTTGCTTGGTATACATATTTAACCTTACCGAAGCACTTATTTGCTCAAGTTTGATGTTTGGCAAATTCAACACCTATAATTGATGCTGCTGCATTGAGAAATATCTTTTGCATAATGATCAGATTTTGATCAAATTTGCTTCCTGGGGTTGAATGTTTGACAAATTCTGCACTTATTCAATGAGGCTGTTTTTATTGGCCGATGGCTTTCCATACAATATTTTGTGCTTGAACGTGCCTCATTACTACTAACCCAAATCTCTTACATGGGTTAGATGACAGGCAAATTCTGAGCATAATCAACAAGGTTGCTGATTTCTCATTGATGGCTGATGGCTTTCTGCACGCTATACTTATACATCTTATGAAGATCAAAACAATTGGATTTTAATTGAAATGAGTTCAATGGTAAACAGTACTTAGTAGATATCCTACAAATTCATATAACATCACATTTCCCGGGTCCTTATTACCAAGGTGGTCACCATCCATTGCTTTTGATTGGCCGACACATTTCTGGTTATTACTGTTGTTTCATTGTTATTGTTTTGTTCATACTTGGTGGTTAATGGTTCTTGGTGGATATATAATGAACATGCTGAAAAAGAAATTATAAACATGATACCCTAAAACAAAATGGTTGTCATAGCTAATCTACTTCGCTGAGATCTTTTAGATTGATATGTCTGTCTAAATTCTGGTCTGGTTTAATTTGTTCATTCTTGATGGTAAATGTATGGCATTTGTCAGATCACAAAATTGTGTAAGGCTTTATTAGTAATGCTTCAAATAGAGTCCAAAATGAACCTGTGGCTTCTGCTCAGCCAATGTATGGTAGATATATTTATAATACTGTCAGACAAATGGCAAGGATCTTGCTGTGACCTACGTCAGTAGATATAAAGCATTATCATGGTTATCTTTCTAGATTCAAATACAATCTAAAATCTCCATATCCATTGTACATTTTATTTTATGTATATTATTGAGTTAAAGATAATTGTACAGATAAGGTCTCAAATGAATTTATAACGAAAATAATTGTGTTAGCTAATATGTTTAGGATGAGTAAAAAGATTACAAATGTAGTAACATGCAATATGATCTGCCTTTGATTTAGCTATGTCCATTTATACCTTAAATAGAATGTCCAGGTCTTTGCTTTACAGACTTAATTATTTATTCAATTGTCAAGAAATTTCACATGATCCTTAGCATCACCTTTTGGACAACTTAGCGTTTGAATCTTCTGGGGGTCAACACCACTGTAAAATGGAAGATTTTTTATCACTTCCAATCACAAGTGTATAAGTAACAAACAATGTACCCAAACTGCTACTTTTATAATTCAGTGAAAGACATGGATTTATTTTTCTGCAAAATTGATTAATAAAGCCGCAAAATGTTTTTAAAGATTGTAAAAAAAGGAGAGGTTGTTTATTAGTATGGAATCCATGGATTTACTTGTTCGAGTTACTTTTCAGCAAGCCAACAAGGAAGTCAAAGACCTAGACAACAAGATGCAGGATCTTAAGTACCAAGTACGACAGGAGCTTGTCAAGAACGAAAATATTGAAAAGGTATATATACTTAAATAGCCTGGTTAGGAGCTTGTATCCAGACCCAGGCTTTCAGTCTCATAGCTAGTTTTATCCCATTGTTGATATCACAGCATAATGTCATTTTTTGTTGTTGAAAAGGGCAAGTTTAAACAAGAGGCCCAATCGCTCACCTGGTATTATTCTCAAAATTGTAACCTTAAAAGTGAACTAAAATAAAGCTACAGGCAAAATATCAGCGTTTTGACACAAAGCCATTCAAAAGAACCTGTTAAGAGATTTAAACTCATTAAGTTGAACAACCTTTATAGCCCTTCATCCAAGAATGCAACTTGCCAAATATCACCAGCCAAGACCTTTTTATTGAAAAGATTTATACACAATTGATCAGGTGTGACTTTGAAAGTGTGTCAAGGTCATTCACGTGAACAAACCTGAAAGCTTTTCATCTGAGCATGTTACTGGTCACATATCACCAACCTTTGCATTTCGGTTATTCAAAAGAAGTCGTTTAAATTTGTTAACAATATTTGACCCACGGTGAATATGATTCAAGGTCATTATTTTGAACTTTCAAACCTTTCATCCTAGTATGCTACTGGCTAAATATCATCATCCTAATAAATTTTTTTATTAAGGAGAAGTTGTTTAAGTTTGTTTGACATATTTAACTCCTGTAACCTTGAATATGGGTGAGGTAATCAATTTGACCAAACTTTGTAACCCTACATGTCTGATTGTTACTAGCAAATTATCATCACCCTGGACCTTTGGTTATTCAGAGGAAGTATAGTCATTTAAAGACTTCAACATATTTGACCCCTGTGACCTTGAATATGGATGAAAGTCATTTATTTGAACAAATTTGATAGCCCTTCATCTGTGCATCTGGCAAAATATCATCAAACTGATTTGATTTCAACATATTTGACCCCTGTGACATTGAATATGGTTGAAGATCATTCATTTAAACAAATTTGATAGACCAATTTGCTTCTGACCAACTATCATCACCGTGTACCTTTTGGTTATTCAGAAGAGGTTCGTTGAAAAGTTCAACATCAAGGCATGTATTTGACCCCTGTGACTTTGACAGACCTAACAAGTAATTCTGCAGACCTAACAAGTTACGCTACAGACCTGACAAGTTACACTACAGACCTAACAAGTAACAATACAGACCTGACAAGTTACACTACAGATCTAACATGTAGTACTACAGACCTAACAAGTAACACTACAGACCTAACAAGTAATACTACAGACCTAACAATTTACGCTACAGACCTAACAAGTTACACTACTGACCTAACATGTAGTACTACAGACCTAACAAGTAATACTACAGACCTAACAAGTTACACTACAGATCTAACATATAACACTACAGACCTAACAAGTTACACTACAGACCTAACAAGTTACACTACAGATCTAACATATAACACTACAGCCCTAACAAGTTACACTACAGACCTAACAAAGAACACTACAGACCTAACAAGTTACACTACGGACCTAACAAGTAACACTACAGACCTAACAAGTTACATTACAGACCTATTAAGTAACACTACATACCTTACGAGTAACACTACTGACCTAACAAGTTACACTACAGACCTAATAAGTAACACTACAGACCTAACAAGTAACACTACTGACCTAACATGTAGCACTACAGACCTAACAAGTAATACTACATACCTAACAAGTTACACTACAGACCTAATATGTAACACTACAGACCTAACAAGTAACACAACAGACCTAACAAGTTACACTACAGACCTAATAAGTAACACTACAAACCTAACAAGTAACACTACAGACCTAACAAGCAATACTACAGACCTAACAATTTACTCTACAGACCCAACAAGTTACACTACAGACCTAACAAGTGACACTACAGACCTAACAAGTAACACTACAGACCTTACAAGTAACACTACAGACCTAACAAGTTACATTACAGACCTATTAAGTAACACTACATACCTTACAAGTAACACTACTGACCTAACAAGTTACACTACAGACCTAATAAGTAACACTACAAACCTAACAAGTAACACTACAGACCTAACAAGTTACATTACAGACCTATTAAGTAACACTACATACCTTACAAGTAACACTTCTGACCTAACAAGTTACACTACAGACCTAATATGTAACACTACAGACCTAACAAGTAACACTACTGACCTAACATGGAGTACTACAGACCTAACAAGTAACACTACTGACCTAAGATGTAGTACTACCGACCTAACAAGTAATACTACAGACCTAACAATTTACGCTACAGACCTAACAAGTTACACTACTGACCTAACATGTAGCACTACAGACCTAACAAGTAACACTACAGACCTTACAAGTAACACTACAGACCTAACAAGTTACATTACAGGCCTATTAAGTAACACTACATACCTTACAAGTAACACTTCTGACCTAACAAGTTACACTACAGACCTAATAAGTAACACTACAAACCTAACAAGTAACACTACAGACCTAACAAGTTACATTACAGGCCTATTAAGTAACACTACATACCTTACAAGTAACACTACTTACCTAACAAGTTACACTACAGACCTAATAAGTAACACTACAGACCTAACAAGTAATACTACATACCTAACAAGTTACACTACAGACCTAATATGTAACACTACAGACCTAACAAGTAACACAACAGACCTAACAAGTTACACTACAGACTTAACAAGTTACACTACAGACCTAACAAAGTACAATACAGACCTAACAAGTTACACTACAGACCTAACAAAGTACACTACAGACCTAACAAGTTACACTACAGATCTAACATGTAGTACTACAGACCTAATAAGTTACGCTACAGACCTAACAAGTTACACTACAGATCTAACAAGTTACACTACAGGTCTAACATAGAGTACTACAGACCTAACAAGTTACACTACAGACCTATCATAGAGTACTACAGACCTAATGGTAACACTACATGTTAATCCCATTATGTATATATAACCACACAGTGCAGGGGAGGTAATAGATATGGGACTTGTAATAGTTACTCCCCTTTACTGGAACTCTTTGTTAGGAGAGGTTAGGTGGCAGAGTACAGTAGAAATGGCTTGACCCTAAAAATAAAGGGCATGTCTCGGATAAACATGGACAGCGGATTCATCCTGCACAACACACCTACATATATATATATATTTATAAACTACATTTTGAATAGGTGTTTTTTAGAAGAACATATTTTTTTTTCAAAAAGTGATTTCCCCAGATTTTGGACTTCTGAAAACCATGGTTACCACATCAAAAAACACCAAAATATGCAAAAACTCATGGTTTTTAACCCAGAATTTGACCCCCGCAAGTAGAATTGTTTTTCTTAAAACCTGTCTGAAATTAAATATCGCCTACTCGGTAACAGAAATACTCACGTTTTAGCATAGGTCATTCCGGTGGATTTTTCACAATATTTACACATGTGCTGAGTACAAAAATAGACTACATGAAAAGCTAGCTTTTGTTGTGTAGACACAGATTTGTAAATGCCCAAAATTATAGTCTCAAACCAAATTTGAATTTATTTTTTGAAAAATTATGAAGCCCACATAGTCCACTTCATCATGTATATGCCAATTTTAGTGCTGATTTTTTTTTAAATTTTGATACATGTTATATTACAGGGGTTATTCATTGTATAAAAATATCACCCATGGCCACCGTACGCTACTGTACTCTGCTACCTTACTTTGAGTGAATAAAGATGGTGGAAGCACATGTCACAGTTAAGTTGAGAAGTGTATTAACAGTGGTAGCAGAGCGAACTGTGACATTTAGTCAGTGTAAAGGGAGTGTAGTTGGAATACAGAGAGTGTATACAAAGTGTAAGGAGACATTACAGTGTCAGGACAGTGTCACAAGGTGAGAAGAGACAATGACAACAAAAATCAACCCCCCCACTTTTCACACAGGGAAATCCTATGAACTTTATAAACAGGAGCTGTTAGCATGGAATGAAATTACAGAACTAGCAGCTGGTAAAAGGGGTGTGGCTATAGCTCTTAGTATGCCAGAGGGAGGTGAGCATAGAATTAGGGAGAAAGTATTCGACCAAATTCCTTTGGAAGATTTAAAGAAAGACGATGGTTTCAAAACCCTGACAACTTTTCTGGATAAACATCTTGCAAAAGATGACCTTGCAAATAGTTTGGAAAAATTTGAGGACTTTGAAGATCTCAAAAGGAGTGAAGGTCAGTCAATCAATGAATTTATTGCCAGTTTTGATTGTGCATACAGAAAAATAGAGAAAAAGAACATGAAACTACCATCAGAAATTCTGGCATTTAAACTTCTCAGGAATGCCAACGTCACAAAAGAAGAAAAGATGCTGGTGTTGACAGGCATGAATTATGCGAACCGAGATACGTTGTACGAGGAAGCCAAAACTTCACTGAAAAAGTTTAAAGGGGGAGGTGGACTTGATCATGTTAAAAGTGATACAACAGCGATCAAACTCGAACCAACATTTTTGGCAGAAAATGATGAAGCGTTATGGGCAGCAGGTTATGTGAAGAGGGGGGGCTATGGTAACAGAAGAGGAGGGCGTCCGTATAGGGGGTATGGACGAGGTTCACCGCCAGGATTTCGGTCATCTCAGCGAGGAGTGAAAAATCTCAATCCGAATGGGTTCGATGGTAAAGTTCTTACATGTAAGTCGTGTGGATCATACCGACATCTTGTCGCCAAATGTCCTGACAGTTGGGAAAATATGTTGAAAGTAAACATAGCTGAGGAGGAAGAACATACCGTTTTATTTACTGGGTATCATAAGGAGGACATAACTCAACTTGGCTCCGATACACGGAACAGCGCGTGCAGTAGTACCGTTTGCGGAAACACTTGGCTACAGACATACCTGGATTCACTCGGCGAGGATGAACGTAGTAAGGTTGTTAGTCAGACAGGTCACAGAATCTTCAAGTTTGGTGGAGGGACAAAGTAAA